TTTTGCAAAATTGAAAAAAAAACCACTCTTGATGTATTACTTAAAAAAATTGACAACCTGAAGGATAATATATAGGATTTGTCAAATCTGTCCTTTGAACGCGAATATTATATTTATACAAAAATACAAAAAATAATCATAACATTAAATTACGACTTTTTTTTATCAAAAACACGAATCGGCCAGCTGCTGAAATCCCACCTACAGACAAATTACTTTTATGCACGACCGGGCGATAAAGTACAGATTATAACTACGTTTAGCAGGCGTAAAGTGCCCCTTTACCGCCCGCGAACTACTTCACCACCCGCTGGGCGATAAAGTAATTGTAGGGGAAAGGGTTGTAACTTGGGACAGTTTTACCTTGCTCTCAAAATTCAACCACTCTAGCGGTAACTCTCAGAACTACATATTATGTATCCTTTGTGTTGCCCACCAATACAATGCTATTTCAGTCATTGTTCCGAGGTCAAACGCAGATTTACCGTTTTCGCGCCCTGAAAGTAAAATTTTGCGGCAACTCCCAGCTCGTATACAAACAAGGTAAGCATAATTTATTCACTTTACCCCATGTAGTACTGTTGGTGTGTTGTTTAAGCAAGCAGTCCATGCAAGAAAATATTGAAAAGTAATTTAGTTTTTTAAGGTTAAGAAATTCATTTTGTCAAGTGTGCTAGGTTGCACCTTAGAGCACTTTGCGGGTTGTATCTTGGGACGTGTCCCAAGGTACAACTTTTTGACATAATACATTTTTTAACATTAAAAAATAAATAACTTTTGCAATAAATTGCAATTTCACCATTGTTACAGATGGGCAGAAGGGCCACAGGAAGAAAGATGACGAAACCAGTAGCAGAAAATGTTGAGGCAGCTGTTAAGGATGTTTCACCATTGTTACAGATGGGCAGAAGGGCCACAGGAAGAAAGAGGACGAAACCAGTAGCAAAAAATGTTGAGGCAGCTGTTAAGGATGTTATCACAAACAAACAGTCTGTGCGAGAAGTGACGAGAATATATGGTCTATCAAAAAGCACTCTGGCCAGGCACATAAAAAAATACAAGTTGTCTGGCCAAACTGATTTCAAATACAAAGCCAACAATGCGACGCAAAAGGTCTTCACACCGTTGAGCAAGAAGAAGAACTTCTCTCATATATTTTAAAGGCTGCACAATGGAACGTTGGTTTGACCGTCGACGAAATGAAGAAATTAGCTTTCCAATGTGCCGAAGTAAACAAAGTCAAATATCCAGAAAAGTGGAAAGAACGTGGATAATATTTCTTCGAAAACTGGAGTCTACTAGCCTAGGTCGAATGGCATCTTTCAACAAACCAAATGTTGAACTATTTTTTGGGAAGATCCAAGAAATCTATGAAAGGTACTCTCTTCAACCTCAAAACGCGTGGAACCTTGACCAAACGGGTTGCTCTACGGTTCACACGCCGTCACGTGTGCTAGGTAACATAAAGGCGAAACAAATTGGAGCAGCTACCTCTGGAGAACGTGGAATAAATGTAACGGTGATAGCTTGCGTCAATGCTGCTGGAACATTTATTCCCCCAGTCATCATATTTCCTCGTGTTCATTACAAAGAATACATGATTAACAATGCGTCACCCGGTACCCTTGATATGGTAACTTCTAATGGTTGGTCCAATGTAGAACTATTAAGTACCTGAATCAATTTATCTCTGTGGTCACGTCTTCTCGTGACAATGAAGTGTTGCTTATTATGGACAACCATGAAAGTCACCTTTCATTGGAAGCGATAAATTTGGCGAAAGAAAACGGCATCGTTTTTCTCACGTTTTCCCCCCACACTAAGCCATAAACTCCAGCCACTAGACCGGTCTGTCTTTGGGCCTCTCAAAGCCTTTTATAACAAAGTTGCAAAGGATTGGACGATCAACCACCCCGGAAAGCCTATTTCTATTTACGACGTCTCCGCATTGTTGGGAAAAGCATTCCCTCTGGCATTCACGCCAAATAACATTACCGCGGGATTCAGGGCTGCTGGCATCTGGCCCTTTAACGCAGAAGTGTTCGGAGACGATGAGTTTTTACCTGCTGAAATGACAAACAGACCATACCATGCAGCAGAAGCAGCAGCAGCTGAAGTCCAACTGCCAGATGAAAGTGAGGAGAGGCAAAATAACAAATTCGTCCATTTCCCAGAGCACCACCAAGGAAATATTGTGGTAGAGGACGAAAACCTGGGAGGTGTATGATTATTCCCACTGACACGCCAGAGAAGCAGAGAATTGAAGAGGAAAAGAGTAAGAAAGGCAAGTTATGCCCAAAGAGAGAAGCTGCTAAAAGAGCTGTACAATTTTAATCATCCTCATCTGATGAAGAATTACCTGACCTTGGCGATAGCTCAGTTCTAGTTCTGAAGATGAGGATTCCTCTAATTTCTTTCAAACTAACGAAGATCAGCTGATTTTCTTCAAAGGCAGCTGGGTTCTAGTTAATTTAAAATCGCCGGTAAAACTAAAGGACATGTTTACTACATTGGATTAGTAGTAGAACAAGACAAATCTGGACCAGATGTGACCATAAAGTTTCTCAGGAAACAAAGAAACCATTTTGTATTCCGAAGCGTCGACGTACAATTATTTAGTGAAAGTATTGCCTACTCCAACAATACGTCGTGGATTTCATTTCTTTAACATTTCATTTCCACAGGATCTTAATTTGAAATAAATTGTATTCAGTATGAATTACGTTTAACATATTTTTATAATAAAAAACAAATACATACTACCTAATGTTATGGCTTATTTTAACATAATAAAAACTATGATATTCAATTATTTATTTCCCAAGGTAGAACCCACGCTGTCCCAATGTAAAACCACAGGTTGTACCATGGGACAAAAATCACCAATTGCTTGAACAATTAGTAGTGGTCTACGCACTGATGCTGGCAAAATTGATTGTTGGCTAACAGTTGCCTACAGTTATAGCCTCTGCAGAGCTAAAAGGTTTTTGTATTGGAACGAAAGATGTCAGCACAATAACTGGAGAAGTAAAAAATGTCCCCAGGTACAACCCTTTCCCCTATATTATCCAACGGGCAGGTAATAGAATACTATACTTTTTCTATGATAATTAAATAATAGAGTTATGCAATATTTTGTTTTGAAAATTAACAGAAGCTTTTGAATTCAAATCAACAGTAGTAGTTATATTTCTACTAGTCAACTGGTTTTCTCCGTGTAGGTTGTAGTTGTGGAAAGTGGATGTATATAATACTTATATTATATTGTTTAATAGTCATAGCAAACATTTTTTTTTTTTTTTTTTTATTTACATCTAGTTAGTAAAACAATAGCTATTTAAAAATAAACGATCATTAAAACGGTCGTACATAAAATTTTATATATTTGTTAATAAATTGTCATTAAAAAGGTCGTGCATAAAATTTTGTATTTCGGGCGTAAACAGCATTTATGTACCTTACGTGTTCGCATTCGATTTTTTCCCTGTTTAGATGTATATACCAATTAAAAATATGGTATTCTAGTCACATTAACTTCGAAAGCAAAGAAAAATCAGCTGGACATTCTAGAAAGATCACTGGGAGCCATTATTTGGTAATCAGGACTTCACATCTTCATCTGTGAGACCGTCTTTATCACTTTTGTTTCATAAAAACTGTAATAGTAATAGATGTAACTGTGTAAAAGAAGGTTTAAAGACTCCTGTAGAATGTTAGTGCAAGAATTGTGTTAACACTATTGTAGAATCAGAAAAAGAAAAATCAAGAGCTGAATCTGATACTCAATGTTGAATGTATAAAATAGAAATAAAAATAAACTACAGATATAATTCTTATGTTTTAGCACACAATACGTCGTTACTACGCATTATTCTGACGGTGCATTATCACAAAAATCCTAAGTTAAAAACTATAAATCATAGATCAATAATTCTTTTTCCAAACACTTTTTACAACCTTTCTTTTTATTTCGTTCGCAGCATATACAGACATATTTTCAAAAATAAAAAAGTTTGTCGCATATCGAAATTTACTCTACTTGAATGACAAAAAACAATGCGGTATCTTAAAATATTTTAGTACTGTTAGAGGCGCTTATATTTCTAATTCAATTAAAAAAAATCAAATCGATGCTTCAAATATTTACTGAGATATGATGTTCTATATGTTTAAAACCAACTGTTTCATAAAAATGTAAAATTTTACATTTTTCAGAATTAACAAAATTCTGCACAGGCCGGAAATGTAAACAATTATTGTTAATGGAAAATTATATAGGTTTCAAAAAATATTTTTGTCACATTCGAACGTTGATTTTATTCGACTACATAGAAAAATTAAATCGGCACTTCACTGTATAGATTATTCTTATGAAAAGCTTATTTACCTGTACTATTAAACAACTATCTACAAAATTAAATTAATTTGGAAGTTAGAAGGACAAACATCAAAATATTATCTTTATAAAAAACATCAACGATGTATTGACAACAATTTCACATTCCAGCTCAATTTAAAAAGAATTTAGGATTAAATTGTAAGGTTTAAGTGCTTGTAAGCACTGAGCTGATGTTGAAAATTTATTGCCGAAACATTCTAGGGGCTCAAACAACTACATGTTGAGACGATTATGATTTTTCTATAAATCAAGTAGCTTTTTAAAATGATTATTTTTATAATAAAGAACATGTTTTTCAACATTTATTAACAGAATTTTTTTTTTTTTCATATTACAATTTATTTGTATTGGCACTAAATGTTGGGATGGTAAACGAATATTATTAAGTGTGACATCCAGTAAAAGAAATACTGCACTACTTTGCATTTTTTGTATTTTTTCTTGCAATTACAATAAAACAAATATTATAAAGAACTAACATTACTCTTCAATGTAATTGATAATAATTTTTATAGTAAATATCATTTTGATGTTGATCCGAAATAATAATAACAATAAAAAAAAAACATTTTACACGCTTAATTGAGTATTCTGGATGTATTTAACTTTGCGCAGAACCGTATGTCCCCGGTGGAGGCCTGTAGAATTTCGGAAACGCCAACAGCTGCATGTAGTTAAAGGCGTATTTCTTTATGCCGATATTTTTGAAACAATTCTCTCTTCTACAACCCTCGCTGCGAAATTGAAAACATTTATAAATAAGCACAAACAAAAAACCAATTCAGGAATTATACAGTATATAAGTCATTTATTTGCTAATGCATTCAATAATATACGTGCATAAAAATAATAGTGATATACAGATTCGGCTTAAATTTTTCTTGGATATAGTGCAAAACTATAAAGAGCAACAGAAAGAAGACTATTCATACAAAGCAAGAATAAGAAGGCGTAGCAATCCTACTATTCTTAGCTACGCTGACCGATCTCATCCATTGGCTCAGCCTAGACCAGACACCGAGACCAGACATCGAGTCCACAGTGTGTAAAGGTAAGGCAGTACATTCTGGTTATAAAATAAGTAGTTAATATGACAACCGTTTTTTATACCACTCGTGAAAAAATACAAATATTAAAGTGGTACTATGGGGGGGTCATTCCGTTCAAGATATATTTGGTTGCTATTGTAAAAGATACAAGAATTGACAAGTAAAAATATCAATTTTCCAAAAATAGACTAGATTTTTCATATTTTGCAAAATGTTTATAAAATATTATTTCTTAAAAAAAAATCAATTAGAAAATATTAATTTATTTTGTTGACTTTTTGATTTTTAATGTATATTTTCTTGATCATTAACTAAAAAAGTATCTGGTCATTTACTGTGAATTTTGCCTCCTTAATAACTATAATTTAATAGTACTCAAGTAAAAAAACTCAAGTAAACAACAAAAAGCTAAAACTGTTCAAGATTTCATTGAAGTAAAATGAAAAGTAAAACAGTCAAAACTTTATTTTTTTAATATGAGATTAAATTTCATTATAGCCATAACTGATTATTTACTTGGCCATATTAAAACAAATTAATATTTAGCTTAGAATATGGAAAATACATATAAAAAAAAATATTATTAACTTTGTTATATAAATCTACTTTTAATTCATCGTGCGAATCCGGTACAGGACTGTATCTACCTTGACAGAGGAACGAACCCCTAGCCCATAAAATCAAAGGCTGGATAACGGCGCATTGTTTTATTCACTTATTCGAAGACAAAGAATTATTTACATAATTACACCATGCCAAAAAATTTACAATTTACTTGCTTGTATGAAACTCAAAACTTCATGCTAGTAGTTATGTTTGTAAATGAAGTGAATTGATCGAAGGTTGAAAAGAGTGTTTTTACCGAGAACGAAATATATGTGTAGCGAGAGATGTTACCGACTCCGAGGCATGTTTACTGTTCGAAGTTTGAAATTGGAGCGACGATAAGCAAAAAAAATAAGTGTACCGTAGCAGGCGATGCGGGGCAACTTGTCGGTTCTTATGTGTTTTATTGAGTCGGAGAGACAGAAATGTTGCGATGCAAAAGATATAGTATATGCTGGAATGCAGTTTGGATTCATGGTGTACATGATATTTATCACAATTTACAGAAAATATATTTAGCTTGTACCATATCTCGAATCCGTTGTTTTGATCGCAGCTGGATTGAACAGGGACGGGTTAGGAAATGTTAAGTTCAAATTTTGTTATGAAATTTAAACATCTATGATTGAGAGAATAATGAAATTTTAAAAATGTATGTTAAATCGCGTTATCGAAATTATGTCATGTCATGTACAAATCTCGGTCATCAACTCCGACTTAGTCATAATCGGCCAGCCAACAAGTATCGACGTTAGCATTGTTGCCAAATAATGTGTCTCTTTAGTCGATCTTTGACTCTCCACCTCAAGTTTGCAAAACTAAACATCTTAAAACAACAGATTTTTGAAATATTTAGTTTATTTCTGTTTTGAACGAAGATGTGGAGAGAATTTTGTGGACAGTAAGGAAAAAATATAAGGACCAAATCAGGCACATAAAGAGGTATGAGGTTAAAAATTTAGCTGTGATGGCAGAGATGTATGGAGAAACATCATCATGACTCCAAAAAATCTAAAGTATCTAAAAATAAATAGTCGTTACCTTCTTAAGCAATCTAGAGCTCGTTGAAATTCGTGTTCGGCTAGATGATATTCATCAGCTAATATCAGGGATTCTTCTAAAGTTACTGACATTCCAGTCCTATCTTTGGCACTTTTACAACTCGTAAATCGTAAACCTGCAAATAGAATTGAGTATTCAAGTTAAAATTTTAAAAAACAAATTCCAAAAATTAAGAGTTTGATGATTTTTTCATGGATCCCATCATCAGATCTTAACTAAATTGATATGGGACCGCCCTCTTTCTAACAAACAATAAATCATAGAAATCGCTGAAGTCGGTTACAAATAGGGCCCGAAATGGTTCCTTTGAAGCACTCACCATTGAGCTGCCGACATGTCTGGGCGGCTAAATGGAGTAATTCGACGTTTTTGGCTTTGGAGCTATGTACAGATATCCTGAGATCTTCTATGATGGCACTCAAAGGTCTCGTTTGACTCGACGAGGCGGAAGACAACCTTCGAACGTTGTCGGCGATTTTTAATTTCTTGTATCGCAGATAGTATTCGTTTAGCCTGTCGAAGTTATCTATATTCGATCTGAAATAGAAAAACAGATCTTTGTTATTACTGAAATGACGTTAAAGTCCTAACATAAGACATTCCTAGAAACTTTACATTTAATTATTAATATTATTTTTTCTGTGTCATCGGCATAAACTGCTACGGTTATTAGCCTCGTGTTCTGTGTAGGCTTTGTTACTGTTTCCCAGCGCCACTTTAGAAACAGCACTGTTAATTAGTACCCAACAGTGAATGGCATCAGAATTATTTTAAATAATTAAATTAAATGAAAAAATCTTGGACCCGCAGGCAGAGACTCTACCACTGAGCCACCCACCCCGTCATTAATATTATTTAATATTATTAAGTGATGACAAAATAAATAATAATCAAATACTGTAAGAAGTTAAAAGGGACAGCTATATTGATTAGCGCGTACTGTCATAAGAAGAACGAATCGAGCGTAAAATACTATTGGAACAACTGAAAATAGAAAAATAAAATAAAAACAAAGCATATATTTATGGACAAAAGCTTTTTGTTGAAGGAAAAGCTTATACATATAACGATATAATTAAAAACAAAAAAAAAGAAGTGTAGCTTGAAAGAGGTTAGGAATCCTCTTACAACAATCGTCAAAGAACTACACAGGGACTTTAATATTCCTCCAAGTGCTTCAAAACAACTAGTTTTGGAAAATTCAACCCAGAGATTTTCATCAAGATTACCACAAAATAGCGATTAAAATTTATTGTAACTTTATAAATCCTTTTTGATTGTCTTTAGTATTTAAGTAAAATTTGAAATAAAAGGAAGAAAAATTAATAATTATCTCCTAGATTTTAAAATCGAACAAATACGAAAGAACTAGTCACTCTCCCAAACTATACCATATTTATTAAAGAATATAAAAAAAAACGAAAGCATATCAATTTTACAAAGTATTAGAAGTGCCAACGAAAACTTTGAAGAGTTCAAAATCGTACTAAACCAGTTCAATATGAATTTCGACTTTATTGTTATCAGCGAAACAAGAAAAATTTTAGATAATTCTTTATCAGTTGAATGATTATGACTTATTTTATAATGATGATAGTTTCAATGAATGTGATGGGAGTAATTAATTTTGCAAATAAAAGTAATTTATAAAAAATGACTTCATAATCACGCAGATGCCATTAAAAATGGAGTTTTTTTTAATTTTCTCATAGATCCCATCATCAGATCTAATTGTATATGGGACAACCCTTGAGATATCCTCATTCTAACAAAAAAATAATCATAGAAATCGTTATTTGTAGTATTAACATTCCTGTTCTGATTTTCTAAACGAATTGCCAACGGTGTCTTATTTAAAAATGTTGAGTGCAAACTCAATAATGGGAATTCAGATATTTTTCTTCTTATATCAAATCTTCTCTCTAACGTTTTAAAGCCATTTTCTTGTTCTAAAACAATAAATAATAAATAAATACCTAATTTGTAACAAAAGTTGGCTACTGTTTGTGTTACTTACATGATTAGATCTTAAATTGGTTAATTAAAAAACGGCACATTGGAGTTGTTAAATTTATTCATGTGGCATGTGCTACTAATGAAATACGTACTCCGACTTATTGTAATATTAAAAAATATAATTATTGTCCTCAAATTTCACACAAAAAACAGCCACAACCATTTCGCTTACAAAAGTGAATAACATCAACAATTTGTTTTCATAAAATCATAGAAGCGAAACAAGATAAAAAAAATACAGGGTGTTAAAATAACAATTTTAAAATGAGTTAAACATTATTCGTAACCAAAGCTCCTCTATTTACCTTTACATCCGGTCATACATTGTAAAAAAACGTAGCAACAAGTTTTATTAATTAGAATTATTTCGAGATGTATTGCGACACATCAAGCGTCTCCACCAATTCATCTTCGTACCTAGGTATTTGCAAAAATAATTATTACAAAACGTAAAGAAAACACACTTTTAGTAAATCATGACCACACAACTCGATATAAATTAAATAATGTTATAATGGGCATGGGCCCTAAATTATTAAATTAGAATTAAAGAACACTCATTCCCTAAATTTAACTTAAATAAAAAAATGTGTATGTGATTTAATTTAGGTTTAGAATTTTTCTCTTTTTATATATAATATTGTATTTTATTAAGACTGTTCGTTCTAAATAACCAAAAATAACCTACGCTCAAGGTTTCTTTTTGTGAGTGTTTTTATATTTTTATATTTACCTCAAACGAATTTATATACATTGTTTTTATATTATTTTTGGTAAATAAATTATTAATATTAATTCAATGCTTACTCACCTTTCCTGCGGTTTTGTGGAACCCAAACTCTCCGCTATGGTTGCCATTTCGTTGATTCCGATGTTGAAGAAGACCGGGGTCACGTGGAACGAGATAGTTTGGCGGGAAGGGATGAGACTGTACAATGAATCGGGAACGGGAAGGGAAACTACCAAGGAATTCCGCGTACCCGTCACCTTTGGATTGGGATAGGGCTCCGTAGCGGGACTGGGGCTCCTTACTGGAAATGAAAATAACAGAAATTGGTTTAATGAATGATGAATACATGTGACGACAGTTTGTTATCCAATACCCCAAGGTGTAGAATATTAAATGTTATCCTGTCATTAAATAAAGTTGTAAATTGTAATTTTATATTTAAGATTGTCGTGCCAACCATTTCCATTCAGTTCAGTCCTGTTTTGTTTTCGTTATTCGCGATCGATGAAGTCATTCAGTCTGCAAGACAAAATCTGTAGAAATTTCAATAAACGACTGCCGATTCTGGTCTAATCCATTCGAGAACATCTTGTATCTTCGAGAACACATCTGGTGGGCGGCATTTTTATATAAATAGCCGTTTGAGTTCAGTTATAATTAGAGATCGATAAATATTGTTAAATAAATTAGTATATAAGTGGTTGAAATAAATAGTGTAGTTTTGAGTACAAATAAATTAAATAAACTAGTATTTAAGTGAATATAAATTAGAATAATTAACTGTTTAAATAAATAAACGTTATATGATAAAGGCATAAGTTGTGTATAAAAAATAAAAAGTCATAATGATGTATAAATATAAATAACAGATTCTTGGCAACCCAGTTTGCCAACAAGGCGAGTTAAACTTTGTCATTTATTTACTAGAATTGCCATGTAAGGCAAGAAGGAAATAATGTAATGTTTCTAAGGTACTACCCATTGGAGACAATTACCTAAAATAAATAATACTGTTCTCAAATCTTCAATGGCGACGGACATATCACCCCACATGTCGATTTCGTTTCCGTAATAGCTCAATAGTCCTTCAAAATGGGCCAAAGGACCCAATCCGCTTAGCAATATGACGAAATTAGGATCCGGTTTATGGCACCACAGTTTGGTTAAGAGTCCGGTCACCAAAGAAGTCAACTGAAACAAACAAATCTATATTCGACCTTCAAAGTGTAACGTCAACTGTCAAAACGTGATTGATATGTCAAAATGTTAAGTCAAACGTCACAAAATCAACGTGAAGTTAGCTGTACAATACAATGTTTTTAAGGAATAAACCTAAACAAGATGGATTAAAACAGTCTTGTCTTAAACGAAAATAAAATACTGAAATATTTAAATAGCCTTTGTCTTAGTTTACTACATTTTTTCAAGGACGAAAATGATAATTGCTTACCGCTTGCGAGAAACAGACGTCTCTTCTATAGCGGACGTTACAAAAGCGTTGTGCTACTTTAGGGCTTTCCTGTACCCTGAAGACGGAATGCGTAAGCCGGGCAGTTTTTAGTAGTCCATCCATGGCGAGTCGTAACTTCCTCATGCTGGGCCTCAGCTCGGAAGCCCAATCGCTTATTTTGTTGATGTCTAGACCGTCTGTAAATTTGTTTCCTAAAAAAATATAATTTGTTTGTCGAATATTTTAATGAACATCTTGTAATTGGTATTTACATCAATATTTAATCTTGGATGCAACAAAACATACTTATATAGCATGTATCAACGATATATTTCTTTTTTTCCGCTTTGAACAATGGTTTATTACATCTATTAATTGAACGTAAAAATTTAAATGTTTGTTGATTAAGTATTTTTTTCATGGCAAAGTTTTTATCAAGCATTGAGTAGTATATTCTGTAACGTTTTAGTTAATTTTAACTGCCAGGATAAAAGGTTATTTATAACTATGACATTTAAATTTTGACCCAAATCTCTATTCAATCAATTTAATTTGGTGCTATAACCAATCCTAGTTAAAATAGTCATAGTAATGACTAAAAAGTGATTTGAAAGTAAGCCCAACGCAATATTAAAAAGAATATATTTGACAGTTAATCATTACTAGATTTATTACTGACATGAAATTAAAAATAACATCCAGTTATTTTTCTAACCCAGGATTAATTTTAACCAAATTTTAAGGAATATCTTAAAACAAATAACTTAAAACAAAACAAAAATTAAAACTCAAGGCTATGTATCATATCATAAATATATAGCCTTGGAGTTTTTCTCCTTTTCTTTTATTTTACTTGTAAATTATATAATTGAAAATGGCTTATTATCTATTATTTCTTGTTTAGCAGTTTAATTGGGAAGTGTTCTGACAAAACGTGATAAATCCATTATTGCAATGCTCCAATGTGTTTTAAACGCAATACCGAGTCAAACAAACTGAAGTTGTTTAAATTTCATAATATATTCTTCAATTTAAAAATAATATTTTGCGGACCGGCCCTGTGTACAATAGCCACCTGTGCTCAAACCCACTCATTTCAAAAATACAGACATACAGACAACATTCCAACACATATACTTTCTTTCAATTTGCCGCCTCTTGCCTTGGCACACTCACTAAAATTAAAAATAATTTCGAAAGTGAATTGATATTATTCGTTCGTCCATCGGACGAGTCCATTCTACAATAACGAGGGGAGCGACAGGCAAAGCGTTTTTTCACACACAAGAATTGACGAGTTATATTTTGACCTCCGCATAGTTTGTGAGCATCGTTCTCCTGCCTCGCCTACCGAAATACTGGGAGTCGGTAAATTTACATCGTCGTCTCGTCTTTTATAACAATAACATGAAGTGGTAAATTTCTAAAAGCGAGTACATTTTCTAGCCGGTTTCTTTATCTTTCTTTCATTACATTTTTGTCTATTTTTGTTAAATTTGAATCTTTATTATTTTTATTCATATTTATTTATATTATTAATATATACCTGTTTCAGCCTTATTAGTATTTAAGCTACCCTGTAATTGGGTGTGTTCCTGTTTGGACAATAAATGATTTTTTTTTATAAATATGTAATCGTTCTTTACTTGTGAATTAAATCAATGTAGCATTTTTGTTTTCACCCTTTCAGGCATCACTCTGCTCCCGCTGAGGGTTTTGACAGATATCCCAATCAGCCTTGGGTAGAGCCACTGGCTTCCTTCAATCAGGCTTGGGGTCCAGCTTGCCTTTTCTCCTCGCATGGCGACTTCGAAGCTCAAATCGCTTATTGTGCCACCATTTGGATGCCCTACTCCTTCCCAAACATTCAACTCCTGTCTTCTTCCATCCATTCTACGGTCTAAATGGGCTTCGAGCTGTGCAAGTTTGGTCACCCACTCAAGCCGTAACCAGGGCCTCACTGCCGGAGACTTGTGATCGATGCGTTAAATACCTTTCACAGCATCCAGTTCCCCTGCATCAATGTACTATTCATCAGTGTTTGATTTTCCAAGTCAAGAAGTTCTCCTCAATGTTCATAACTACAGTCCACATCGTACCTGCCTAAGCAGACGTATAAACAGGGGGCCAAACCTTTAAAAGTTTACATACATTTACAATCCATTAATTCCTCTCAAACAGAACAAACTGTTTAATGAGTATTTTAATTTTTTTATGAATTTATTAACACGTACTTTTTTTAGTTAAATGAATACCTATACCTAATTTTGTTGGATTTATTAGTTTTTAATTTAATTTTTGTGTTTATTTATTATGCACAAAATTCAATAAATCCCAAAGTAAATTATAATGCATTACTGCAAAAAGTGGCTTTATCACGTTTTGTCAGATTGGTCCTCAATTATGAGCCATCTGTATGCCATATAAAAAGTAATTCTTCGTCTCATTTGATGTTAAGTCTAAAGTCGTATGACTGTAAACCTAACAGCATTGGCAGAATCACTCAAAAACAAAAATATTGTGTAAAGAGTCCTTTCGCCACCAATGTTAAATAAAAAAATATTAGATTATGACTAAAATTAATTTTTTGCTAATAGTTGAAGTCCTTATTTATCTAATAGTGAACTTTTAACTCTACCTTACCGTGCAAATTTTTGAGAATTTTTTTTTTAAATATGAGTATTTGTACAGTGTCTTACTAGAAAGTAAGATCTCAACAACAATTCTCGAATTACACTATTATTTATTGATTAGATGGAGTAGAAAAAAACTAAAAATAAGGTTTTTGAAATATTTAGGTTTTGTCTTTTGCAATAAAATATATAGGTTACTGTGGAATTTATTGAGAAATTAATATTAAAAAATCACAAAAAATTTTTAAGTAACCTAGCTTAAAATGGAGTCAAAACATTTGGCAACGTTGCGTAGCGCGCGAACTGCAGAACATTGAATACATTCAATGTAAACTTTAACGCAATTATGTTTTTCATTTATATTTATTAATTTATTTATTTTTACCAAATTTTTTATTTTATAATTGAAAATATCACAATAAATGAAAAATATCAGCTTATTAGAGTACTATCTAATTATTTATTTATTTATTTATCATAATGAGATATACTTACACATTATTTATTATAATTTTTTTATTATTTAAATAAAATTACGACACAAATGAGTAAATTGAAAACAATTTTTTTATGAATAGTGTAAATTTAATTATTTAGTCATAATCTAATATTTTTTATTTAACATTGGTGACCTCCTTAAAATGAAAAAAACTGCTCCTACAATATTCATAGCTCTTTTACTAAGTAAATCCCGTCTTACACCTACTTGAATGTCGAAGTAATTCTACTAAAGGTAAGTGCGCACTTTTATGTATCGGACGGAACGGACGCATCGGACGAATCGTAATTTTTTTTAGACATCGCACATTGATGCAGATGGGCTTTCCGTATTTTGGATGATTTTATACTTTGTTTGGTGATTTAATGCTTTGTTTGGTGATTTAATGCTTTAGGAGGCAAAATTTTTCCAATTCTACCGAATGACACAATGAAAACTTCTGTGATCTTTTAAATATATTGCGTTCGTCTATAAAGAAGCAAAATAGTACCTTTCGGGAATAAATTAGGAGGAAAGTCTCAAAATAAAGTGAGTTAGAAATTGAGCTTTATTTAATTCAACAAATTAAATATAAAAATATTTCACCTAAGTTAATAATAATAAATACAATTAATCCGAAACGATTCTTGCTGCGGCCCATCGCGAACTTACTCGAATTTTTGAATGACGTCATCCGCAGGCATCGCCTTGACGGATTTAGTTCTTGTTCAAGAATTCTAAACGGATTTTCGTCAATGCGACACGTTCGATACGAATCAATATGCGTTGACTCCTTTAAAGTATAGGAAAATATTATATTATATAATACGTATAATCCCCAATATGTACAAGTGCGCGCCTACCTTAACTCTGACTTTAATAAATAACATCATTAGTAAATTTTTGACTGTAGATGTAGATATTTTATTTTTTAAGAAAACTATGTGGAGTACCTTCGTTTTAATATTTGATGACAGAATATTATTCTTATTGTGAATAGTTGTTTTCAATAATTAGAAAAATGATTCGTTGTTTATTTCTTTTAGTTCATTTTTTTTATTGAAGATGAAAGTACTAATGTAGGCAATACAAAAAACGAAAGATGTAGCCGTTATCCACAAGGCCAGATTTAGATTTCGTGAAATGCCATTGCCACCTAATGCAAAAGTTTGCTTCCAATATAATTCAAAAATATCGTCGTCAATCTTACAAACTGACGTATTTCAAAAAATGGAGTTTGTGAGATAAAACTGTAGAAACACTTTATTTTTAAAGATCTTTCTTCTCACAAAGAGGCGTAACTCAAGCTGTAACCGTTACGTAGCAATAGAAACTTCCGTGAGGACGTATCTCCTTACTCAAATGCAACACAAAATTTTAAATAGCTCTCCTGTAAAATTAGGAAAAATGAAATAGGTCAGTTTGTGAAATCGCCGTCGATATATTCAATGTATGTTAGGATGGAGCATTTTTAAAATATTTTTATAAATTTTGATTCTTTAGATTTTTTTCAAATAATATTATTGTAACGTTTGTTTAATTTATTTATAACGTACTAATTAATTTATATATTATTTAGGCACTAACTCACAATTCTAATTTATTTATTACAATTTGTCTTTACTGTCCAACACTTAAATTAAATCTTTTCGTTCGTCGACAAACACGCGCTTTTTATATAAAGCCAGCTCAGTACCAGAACACACTCGGCTTTCCAGAACGATCGGGAACTGCCTCTCTATGACTCATATGCCGCAAAGGGATCACTCCGGTAGCATCTCGAAGCGGTGCGCTTGTGTCTACATGGCCAGCGCTAGACTTTTAATTATTACTCTTTTATTCAATGCTGTATGAATACTCCCTTTTGGAGTTAACATGGGACATCTGTTGTCTTAATTCAACTTTTGACTTTATAAAACCATCTGTTTTTTGTCCACAAAGTGGTATTGATGTTTCAGTGACCAGTTTAGCGTATCTCTCCAGTGCTTGGGAATAACATGGTTACCTATTTTATATCAGTTTTAAAAGGATTTTGTACCAATGGACAAATTTGGAAGTAAATGAGGTTTTGTTAATTTAAGTTTAAAAATTGTTAATCAAT